ACACAAGAAAGTAGTACACACACACACACACACACACACACACACACACAAATTGGTATTTTCATATCTTCATTATTATACACTTTTCTGGTGTAATCAAAACACACAAATACATATATGCACACACCCATTAATTTGGAAGGGAGTTACATGCATATATAAGGACAGAATTTGGCCCTCAGCATTTATAGATTTAACTATTTATTTTTCCAATAAAGGAAATTTGTAAAGATGTTTCACAAAAATGTGTTTTGACTAAATAATTTTATTGATATTGGGAAAGAAAATTAAATAAGGACTTCTCCCTAAAGTTATACTGGAAAGGACTTCACTTTATGTATCTTTATTTTAATAAAATCAAGGGTGGAATTTGATAATAGCATGTTTACAAAAAAAATGTTTTAACTTACCATAAGCCACTGGGGTTAGCTTTAAGACACTATGGAGTGGGCACTTGAGATAAGGCAGTTGTTCTGAGAAATTGAAAAACAAAAATACATATGAAACACTGGGAACAAGAAAATTCACTTAGCTGTAATGTTTGTTATATTAAAACTATTTAAAAAGCTTTTCTTCCTAAGTGACACTGAGACCTGTTTTTTGGTTAAGCAAAAAAACATTTGTGTATTCAAAGACAGGAATTGTTAAATATAAATCACACACCAGGCATGCAGAAAGGTAGGTCAGCCATGAAAAAAAATTCAACTTGCCTATTCACCCAGGGGAAGTAAATTATCGTGTTAGAATTTGCTGTGACATTAACATCGCATCAAGAGAAGGGTGAGCTTTGTGCCTGGGCTGCATAAGTTGCCAAGACCATTTGCAAGGCTAAGGTGGACCCATTGTATTAAAACATCAATACTGATTAAGGGCATATACCTGCAGTCTTGTCCAGAAAGTAAGCAAGCAGACAGCGCATAACTGCTTGGTGACATATAACAAGCACATTTTCCTGCCTTTCCAGCTCCATGATTACTGGCTCCAATCTCTGAACGAGATCTTCATATGACTGGAAAACAAAAGCATATTGAGCAGTCAGAGGCTTACTTAGGCAGGAATTACTGCACAGTCAGAAGGAACAACTAATAGTTGTTTTATAAACATTTTATTAAGACAGGATATTGACCAGAAAGGAGGTCCTACATCTATATAGTGCACTCCACGAAAGAAAAATAAAAAAAGTTTACAATTTTTTTTACTCTGTAGAGGAAGTGGTTTACTCATTTGCCATCATCTCTGAAGCCAAATTATCACTCAACCCTCTCAAATATAGAATTTTACTATTAATATTTATCTGAAAATTCCCTCTATTTGCATGAACTTCTATACTTTGATGTACTCTTACTCATACTTTTTTGGTTAGTTTGTTTTTTAACTTCAGTTTCCCATTCATGGGATATCCTATGCTGGTAATTTATGGCCTGATCCTTCCAAATACCAAACCTTTCATTATTAATTTGGTTGCTAGGTTCTCTTCCATCTTACATTTTTTGACTCAGATTCAGAAAAGCACCTTTTTTCAGGACAGCATTTAAGCATGCCAACTTGAAGTCAATGCAACTTTAGCATGTGGTTAAATGCTGTACTGAACAGAGATTAACACTAACCACACACTAAGGAAGACTGACCAAAGTCAATGCGTGTTTTTGTTTCTTTGTTATTTCCCTAGTTTCTAGATTAGGCCTGCTGAATCAAACTAAAAATTAAAAATTAAAAAACCCTAAGCTTTGTCTCATCTTAGGCAATCTCTACACTAGCACTTTTGTCAGGAAAACTTTTGTTGGTCAGGGTATGAAAAAAAACACACACTCCCACCCCCCGGCCCCGAGCAACATAAATTTCACCGACAGAAGCACTGACACAGCTACTGCTGCTTGTTGGGGGTGATTTAATTATTGTCAGCACAGAGCAGCTACACAGGAGAACTTACAGTGACGCAGCTGCAGCAGTACAGCTGTGCCACTGTTAAGATCTCTAGTGTAGACATAGCCGTAGTCAGTTAACACCATAACCCTTCTTGTTTGGGTCATCTTAACCACAATTATTTGACTTCTGCAAGAAGATCCTGAGGGTGATAACATTTATGTAGCTGCTCTATATTGGCCTTTAAAAAAAAAGGTTAAGAGTCTGACTTTGATACAAAAGTGCCCCATGCCTAAATGATTATTTAAACAAAAACATATACCTTTTAAACCTGTAAGTTATCAGTGAGTAGTGACTAAGGCACCATCTACAATGGCAAGTTTGTGCGCAGTAAAGTAACTTTGAGCACTGTAATTCCTGAGGTGTACACACCACCAAGCCACTTAGTGCACAGAAACTGCGCAGATGCAACGCTCTAAAAAAAACCACCTCGATGAGAGGTGTAACGCTTTCTGCGCCATGGTTACAGTGCTGCTGTGCCAGTGTAGACACCGTGGTGATTACAGCGCTGCGATTGGCCTCCAGGCGGTGTCCGCAATCCCTGTTCTCATCTCACATCAGTTTGAACTCTACTGCCCTGCCCTCAGGGGACCAACCATCAGCCCCACCCCATACATTCCTTTGCAAATTTGAAAGTCCCCTTCCTGTTTGCTCGGTGATGCATGCAGTGGTCTCAGCGCATCTTTCCAGGTGGCCATGCCTGCTCCATGCACCAGGCGATCCCCCGCTTGGAGCAATGCTGAGCTGCTGGACCTCACTGGCATTTGGGGAGAGGAGGCAGTTCAGTCACAGCTGCACTCCTGCTGTCAGCGTTATGATACCTATGGACAGATTTCTAGATGCATGATAGAAAAGGGCCATGACCGGGACCCATTGCAGTGCAGAATCAAAGTGAAGGAGCTGCGAAATCCCTACCACAAGGTGCGGGAGACAAACCGCCACTCCGGTGCTGCGCCCACAAGCTGCCGATTCTACAAAGAGCTGGACGTAATACTCGGTGGTGACCCCACCTCCACTGTGAAGTCCACTGTGGATACTTCGTTGGCTTCACTGCCAGTCAAGAGTGGACCAAACCAGGAGGAGGCAATCTTGGATGAAGAGGAGGTGGGGGAACCAGTGGCAGAGGATGACTCGGAGGCCAGAGATGCATGCAGTCAGGAGCTCTTTTCTACCCTGGAGGAGCCTAGCCAATCAGATCTTGGCAAAGCGCAAACAGGAGATGAGGCCCCTGATAAGTGGATCTGATTTGGGGAATTGCTGAAGCAAGTTGTTGGGGTCAGGAGGGTTGCAGAAAGCGGCTTGTCTCCCATCTCATGACTAGTTTGAGCAGTGGAACAGGCTGTTGATACACTCCTTCACTTCACGGGAATCTCCCTCAGAGATCTCCAGGAACTCTCGTGGAGATACTGGGAAATCCACTCCCGCAGGTTCCTCGGCAGAGCTGCTTTGTTTCTTGCCCCATTCACTGTAACTTTCCCGCGCCACTGTGCCGTCATGGGGGGAAAGAGGGGAGAAGGGGGGAGGTATTGTTGCACACAGGCTAGCCGCACAGATGTCAGAGGGCAGAAGCCGCAGGCTTGGAGAAGACCCTCCCTTGAGTCCCTGTTCACCTTCAGCAGTAAGATATCTTCCATAATGATCACCTCCTGTGGAAAGTGTGGGGACAGGAATGATTATCAGGCTCCCCCAACAGTGCTGGCTCTCCCCAAGTGCCCAAGAGCCAACATGCCCAGTGTACAGCAGGGTCCGAGAACAGTGATTTACCCTGCCCCGCGGCTACTCACCATTTTGGGGGTCTTGTGACTTATGTGCGCTTGCTTGGGGTCAGCCAGTTAGTGACAGGTGTGAGTGTAGTGGCTGTTTTAAAGCACTGAAACGGTGTTGTCTGTGTTGCAAACAATACTGCTTCTGTAAAATGTTGCATTTAAACTTTACAGAGATGACTTTGGGAGCACAGCCTCCTTCTTTGTTATTGGCGGCAGAACGGTTGTAAAGAATTAGAAAGCGTCCAAGAGGAACTAAGGAGAACTTTATGCGTGAGGTTATGATGCACTCCACTGTCGAGAAAAAGGAATTGAAGGAGTGGCGGGACAGCGAGAAGAGGGAACGAAAGGAGAATGCGGCACACTAGAAAGAAGCCACAGAGCAGCTCTTAACAGTTATGGAATGGCCAAGCGGACACGCTCCAGGCAATACTAGCTCTTCAAACCGAGCAGCCCCACACCTGCCCTCCCCTGCAGCCGCTGTTGCAAAACTCTTTCCCATACGCTCCCCACACACACCGCCAACACACTCTTATCAACCTCCTGGCTCCACTCTCTACCCGCAGCATTACATTCCTCCCTCCTCACAGTCCAGCAGTGTGGACTCCCAATACTCACTGCACTCAACACCCATCCATCTGCAGTTTGGCCCTGCTGAAGTACAGCACTCGCTGCATCGTACTCCAAAGGAGAAGGTTGGGTATGATCCCTGGACATACACAAATCAGTAGCCGTCCTAGGACCTCTCCCTCCTCTTGAGACCTTCCATTCCCCCATTCCTTCCATTCCCCCATCCCCGCTGATGAATTTTTTTGTTTGATTCTCTCCTTTGGTTGTTGTCTTTCAAAAAAAGAATTGTGTTGGTTTGAAAGCAATCTTTATTCTTCTATTAAGTGAAAGCAAAAAGAGCACTGCAAAGCAACATGCAATAATGTTAAAGCCCTGTGGCGGGGCAACGACTCACTGGCACAGTGCCTCCTGCTGGTCGTCCAGGGAATTGGCGTTTCCAGCCTCCGGAGTGCCCTCTGCCGGCCAGTGTCCCGCTTGCCGCTGGGCCCCGAGTCCCTCCTGGACCCCGGTGCCCCTTTCAGGGGTGCTGCCCCCTGACAGTACCCCCACAGATCTGGGTCTCCCCTCCCCGGGGAACCCCCACCCTCTATCCCCACCTCACCTCAGACTATGGCTACTGCCAGTCTCGACCTAGCTCCTGTTCACCAGGACAGACTGCAGTGTAAATGCCACTCATCACCGGCAAGGGGGGTTTGGACCTGCTGCCCCTCTGCAACGAAAGTACTCTTTTCTAGCCTTTAACAAGGCCTGCAACCTGGGGGGGGTTTCTAGGCCGGAGCTCCCCAGCTCCTCTAGCCTTCCCCGAGCCCTGCTCCAGTCTTGGTAGCCTCTCAGCTTCCAGGCAGCCAGGCCCTTTCCTCTCTACTGCTAGAGAGAGAGAGAGAGAGAGAGAGAGACACAGACAGACAGACAGACAGACACTCTGCGTACTCCTGGCCCACTGCCCTCTTATAAAGGCCAGCTGGGCTCTGATTGGGGCGTAGCCGCATCTGTGGCTGGCTCCCCAAACAGACGAGGCTTTCTTCACAGCCGCAGCCCTCATCAGGGCTGCTTTTAACTTCTGTTCCTCAGGAGTGGGGCAGCTGCCCCACTACAAGCTCCTTCTTGCATTATGTGCACCAATCACTTCCTAGCATTACAAGTACTGCAATCCCAAGCATAGCAACAAATATTAGTGGCTTTCAGCTTCAAATTGCTGCCTCAAAGCAACCCTGATCCTTATGGCCCCACACTGTGCCCCTCTAATAGCCCTGGTCTCTGGCTGTTCAAACTCAGCCTCCAGGCATTGAGCCTCTGAGGTCCAGCCCTGAGTGAAGCTTTCACCCTTCCCTTCACAAATATTATGGAGCTTACAGCATGCGGCTATAAGCATAGGAATATTGTCATCGGCCATGTCCAGCTTCCCATACAGTCATCACCAGCGGGCTTTTAAACGGCCGAACGTACACTCCACAGTCATTCTGCACTTGCTTGGCCTGTTGTTGAACCACTTCTTGCTGCTGTCAAGTTGCCCTGTGTATGGCTACATGAGCCACGGCATTAAGGGGTAGGCGCGGGTCTCCCAGGATCATAATGGGCATTTCAACTTCCCCTATGGTGATCTTCTGGTCCAGGAAGAAAGTCCCTGCTTGCAGCTTCCTGAACAGACCAGTGTTCCGAAAGATGCGTGTGTCATGCACCTTTCCAGACCAGCCTGCGTTAATGTCTGTGAAACGCCCACAGTGATCCACAAGTGCTTAGAGAACCATTTAGAAATACCCCTTGCGATTAATGTACTCGGTGGCTAAGTGGCCTGGTGCCAGAATTGGAATGTGCATGCCATCTATCGCCCCTCCGCAGTTAGGGAAGCCCATTTGTGCAAAGCCATCCACAATCTCACGCACGTTGCCCAGAGTCACGGTCTTTCGGAGCAGGATGCAATTAATGGCCCTGCACACTTCCATCAATATGACTCCAACGGTCAACTCTCCCATTCCAAACTGGTTAGCACCCGATGGGTAGCAGTCTGGAGTAGCCAGCTTCCACAGTGCAATTGCCACGTGCTTCTCCAGCGACAGGGCAGCTCTCATTCTCATGTCCTTGTGCCACAGGGCTGATGCAAGCTCATCACACAGTCCCATGAATGTGGCTTTCCTCATGCGAAAGTTCCGCAGCCACTGCTTGTCATCCCAGACATGCATCACGATGTGATCCCACCACTTAGTACTTGTTTCCCAAGCCCAAAAGCGCCCTTCCACTGTGATCAACACCTCCATGAATGCCACAAGCATTCTTGTGTCAGAGCTACTATGTGTGATGAGATCAATGTCACACTCCTCTTGCCTTTGTAGTTTAAGGAATAACTCCACTGCCGCTCGTGATGTGTTGGTCAGTGTGAGCAGTATTCTTGTCAACAGCTCGGGATCCATTCCTGCAGCCAGAAAGAGGTAGGGCAGGGTGCACAGTACACAAACCATTGAAAGATGACGCCAAATGTGGACGGAAGTACAAGGATTGCTGGGATGCGAAGCAATGCATCACGTGGCACTGGAACAGGACCCAGGATGCCGCGCAACTCCTTCCGCCTTCCCACAAGTCTTAGCAGCAAAAGAGAAAGAGGTGCTCTGTGGGATAGCTGCCCAGAGTGCACTGCTCTGAATAGCACCGCAAGCGAGAACACGCTATTGCGCAGGCAGCTGTCAGCGTGAACACACAACAGTGGTTTTCCTTTGGCGCTCTCTGAGCAGTGCTGTAACTTTGTCAGTGTAGACGTGCCCTAAAACTTGTTTTCATCTCATGTCCATTTGTTGATCTTCTAGCCATATTACACACAAAAATAAATAATAATAAAAACAATTCAAAATAGTAAATTTACTTTACTATTAAAATAAGTCCCACTCTACTAAGACAACTGAATTTCACAGAGAGTGACAGCCCTAATTGTGCTTGTTGATTTGAACACGTAGAAAAGATAACATTCTCTATCAAACTCTATACACCTTTTTCACAGAAGCTACCCTGTCACCTCTAAAAGGTTGTCTCTCAAGTTGACTGTTACAAGCACACTGACAAGACACTATAAGGAAATTTTCATTGCCACCGCCCACTCTGTACCTGCTGCTTTCTTAAGCAATGAATTCACACACATAAATACTTTCAATAGTTCTTGTGTGTATGATAAAGCTAAAATATAAATGGCATGAACGTTTACAACTTTATTTATTTTGATTTTGGCAACAGTAACACTGAATATATTCCAACCTGGTAATACTGAATGACTCAGCTTTGCTGTTATCACCAACAAATACATTTATTTTGAGAAATTAACAAAATACATTAATCACTAAAAGCAATGAGACAGTTTGAAAGGTTTGTTAACACTGGTCTACAATTTTTGAGAAGTCGTCTGCTTCAGAGATAAAATGTGCTATTTATTATGTATTTTGATGTGCTGAATTCAAATATGACAATTAAAACAACTGATTGGCTACTGTTTCGAAGATATTTAAGTTTTTACATTTTATGTCTATGTATATTGTGTAGATAGTAGAGATTTAATCATAAATTGTAAACCTAGGTCTTTTCATGTGTTTATGGTTGCTTTACATGACAATATTTCACCTGTCCTGTTTATGCAACACTTTAAAAATCAGCAAAAGGCTTATATAAATAAAATTTATTATGAAACAAAAGGCAAAAAAACTTATG